TTTATAATGAATAATCTGTATATAATGAATGTTACTTTTTTTATAATGAAGATCTTCGCTATAGCCAATTAGTGGCATACTATGTCGTTCTGAAAAATCTTCGTTATAAACAGATCTTCGTTATAACCAAAGTTCGTTATAGCCAGCTTTGACTGTACAGTGCAGACCCCTACAACTGAATTATCTTTGTACTTGAGGATGGTAGCTTTCTTGATTATCATATTAATATATTAATATTTGTGGTCCAAACATGGATTTCAGCCTTGTTCAAAGATTTTTGAAAAACCATGATGGCAACACTGTCAGCTATAACTTAAACTTGCTGTTCCAACATTGTACATTCTCTAAGGAACTTAATGTGCTCCTTCTGAATGCTCCTGCTAACAAACCCATCTAATACAAATAGATTATGAAATGGAAATGATGGAATAGATGCCCTGATGTCTTCATCCCATTAACTTCCTCCAAAAATAAATCTCATATTCTTATGGCATCCAAAGTCCAGGTCATCTATTTCATCATTTTATCCTGGGCATAATTGACTAAAATTTTGTGTTAATTTAGATTAATAAACTAATATTAAATGTCTTATAAGTTCGTTAGGTATGCTTTTAAACTCCATTGAGCAATTAATAAGTTAAAGTATGAAAAGAACCAATTGACGGTGAGGTATTTTGAAAGGGAAGTTGGATCAAAAAAGTTATTAAGAAGTTAGAAAGAGAAAAGTAGAAGTTGGAAAGCAGAAGATCCTCATATTAAAGTCATGTGTAAAATTGTTGAAATGGCAGAGGAAGAACATGGTAAAAAAAAATGAGGTGGATAATAAGTCAAAAGAAGCTGAGGATACTTGGAAATTACTGCAAAAATCTAATCGAAAAGTCAAAAAACGGTGAGAAACAAATAAAGAAGTTAGAGAAAGATTTGGAAGATAGGTTTGAACAATTCAAGCAGCTCAGTAATAAATCTGAAAGATAGGAAATTTAAATAAAAAAATTAAAAAGAGAATTGGAACTATCTGAAAGACCATTACCTAAACTACCTAAAAAAGATAAAACAACTTGTGACTTTGTACTGTCGAGCCAATATACGCGGGAGAGCGTTGGTATACGGGCCTTGAGATTTAATCGAAACCTTTTGAAATTCCTACTTCGAGATAAATCTGTTTTGACAATTAGCGACATTTAACTACGATTATACTCACGATCTAATTATCGATCTTGTATATGTTTCTCCTGAATTATTATTTAACGTCGCGATTTATGTCGATTTCTCTTAGAGGGATTAGACTAAAAGCCCATCGGTCGGGGAAACGTAAACTAAACTATGCATACAAAGTAAATAATAATCTTAATTCGATAGTTCTCCTTTGATATTAAGGGCGAGTATAATCTCAGAAATTCGCGGGTCGGAGAATACGTTTTAATTCTCAATAATTCAACAACTATACCGCGATTGTTCTTTTACCAGGAAATATTAATAACGAACGAATAATAATTATTTTTTAACACGGTTTTTATTAGAAAAACGATGCTTTGCTATCGTCTGCTACTCGTTTATAACTATTCGATGTGGTAGGGAAAATATTTGTGGATAAATGAGGAAATTACACTACCCTACCATAAATCACCGGATTTGTCACGTGTTTGAAAATAGATATGAAATTTTTGTAGCGACGTTGACCATTCTCCATGATAAACTACTGCTGCATACATAGAAATTTCAGATGTCAAAAGCTAATACTTGGTGTTTCCACCTTTAGCCTTAATAACAGCTTCTATTCGATGTGGTAAGCCCAAACCTATCCTCTCGGACTATGCGTTTCAGAACCCGTACATCCCGGTCAGTAAGCGTTTTTGGGTGCCCGGGACGTTTCTTTGGTGTGGCAGAATGTGTTTGCTTATATCGTTTAATTGTATCATTCACAGTGCTAGGAGCAATGCTCAGTTGAGCGGAAATAACTTTTGTTTCGTTCCGCTAAGGTATGCACCAATTATACGTTCGCGCTGTTCGTTTGAAAGCACCTTTTTGACCATTTTATGCTTTTAACAATTGAAGAGTAGCAGGAGAATAGAAGTTATTATTCGACGCAGCGTATTTTATTTGCACGGTATGCAACGATATTTGAAAAAAATTTTTTGTGAAATGATCATTTTGATCCACGTGACAAAAAATCCGGTGATTTATGGTAGGGTAGTGTATTAATATCGTACAAGATAAGAAACAAGCAATAAGGACAATGATTGATCTATCCCAATGCGATCGTATTTCTTGTCTTGTCCTCTTTTTCCTAATGGCCATTTTCTTGTCCTGGCATATAATCGTTTGTGTGTCCAAGATTGTAGGTCGTTTGTACTACAAAAGTGCGTAATACTGACGTAATTATTTAATCACGTGGATCACGACTTCAGCCACACTGGAAGCTAAACTCCGATCAGCTGCCTTGAGATTATTATGCTCGACGTCTTGCGAAGGCTTAGTGTCAGAAATTGAACTAAAAGAGTATTGCAAAACGTTGCATGCTTCGTTGAATCTTAAAAGGAATGCGCGGGATTTAAAATATTTTCGTGGTTAACATGTTTCGTGCAAATAATCATTAGTCACAATAAGAACCTTTCATATTCACAAGATAAGCAAATGAGTTGCTTTTGTAAATTTCGCCTACGATCTCAATAAGAATAAATTTATAAAATCTCTCAATTGATTTCCAGACACTTATCAAGAATAAAATGTTGAACATAATTTATTCTCCATTCCTTATATACAATTTCAGGGTTAAGCGGTTGGAACATTTCTTTCAGAGTCATTTATTATTTTTTGGAACCATTTCATTCATATATTATAGAACAGAGTCACATTTACAACGTATTAGTATTAACCGTCTTAAGCTGACTTGCTTGCGTACATCCGGAACAAAAAAAAATTTTTTGTTTGCAACATAGGACAAAGAAAGGGGTGCATATTGATAAGGTAGTATATACGCTCTATCACCAAGAAAGTTTTGTATGGCGAACCACTATGCAGGGGGCACGCTGAATCAAACATGATGGATAAAAAAAGTTGTAGCAACGTTAGAGTTTGGCTCTTGTAAGCAGTTGTACCGATTGATTTCATTGACTGTTCTTACTTAGTAAAAGATAGCAATTATAGGAAAGTATTTACGAGAAAGAGGATTACCTCCCCTCATGCTAGTATGCTGTTCTCATTGATTTCTGGTTTCGGGGTTCTCATTGCTTGATTTAGGATAGGGAGGATAACCAAGCTTAGGTATGTACGTTGAACTCGTTATGCCGATATAATAAAGGCTTCAATGATAATGTCTTGTAAACAATAGTATTGTGTTGGCTTTATATATTAAGGTTTTATGTTCGGCACTAATAAGCGGGAAGATCCGTGATCGGAAAATCAGTTTTGCCCTAAATGCCTCAAAGCAATGACATAACAAAGACTTTTCGTTTAGTCAAGTTACTGTTCGTATCCTTAAAATTATATTGAGATTTGACGCGAATAGTTCTACTGACCCTGGAGAGAAACGGTTCATTCTTTTGCAAGTTGTCTCTCATCTTTTGTCATTTTGTCTACTACTAATTTCGGAAGTAAGCCCCCTTAAAAATGGTTTTGCAACCTGTAGAAGTGCACATTCTGTTACCATGTACGTTTAGGTGATAGTAATAGGATGTTCTACTGTATATGCTATAAACAATTATGTGATTACCTTTTGATGGATATTGAACTCTGACTAACAGAATTTTTGACACGTGATTAAGGAAAAAGGCCAAATAAATAATAATTTTAGAACAAAAGCATGATGTCTCAGCAGGCTCATCGTTCGCTCTTTCATTCAGCCTCTAAAAAAGGCTGAGACAAAGCATTTATACATAATTATAATTGAAAACAAACAAAGGATTCGTAGACCTCTGATAATACAAGAAACATTTCTACTTGTTATATCATGATCTATTTATACATGATACATGATATCTTCTAGTCTCGCACAGTGAATGCGATTATTGCCTCCCACCACCCAAGAATTCCGGGTTCAAAAAATTTCTTATAGACATGTTTCGGCGAATTCTCTCCATCGACATACTTTCCACTATGTTCGCCAGTAGAGTAATAATCTCCGTTAGGCGGTCGTCGATATTAATATTACGCTCATAAGGAGTGACTGATTGAAAGTCAACATTAATGTTGATATCAGAATTAATAATACCGTACTGTATGAATAATAGTCGTGTTGTAATTAAATAATTGCGCAGAGTTCCAATTTAGATGAGAAAAGTGAGTATAAACTTTGCGTACCAATACGGTTGGTGGAGGATAATTCCTACTCATGAGCAAGTAAGCAATAACGAATACTGATATCCATACTACTATACCAGTAGCAACAAGAAAATGAACACATACGTCGACAGTCATTTTTGTTAGAATACGATAAAGTTTGACCATCCAGCTCTGGAAGACGCTTCCTTTATTCCAAACTCGTGTCGTACACAAGCGGTTGTTTTTCTTGCATACACCTACATATAAGCTAAACCATTTATGTCGTTATAAACGCCGGTGAATGTACGACGTCAGTGATGCTAAAAGCAAATTTGTAATACGGTCACAAACTGCGTGAAGAATTTTGCTAACGTTCCTATAGTCGAGTCGAAATGACCGTGGATATTAAAAAGAGGAGACTAAAATTAGTTGATGAAAAAGCATCGATCTTGTGATGAACAGCCTCGTTTTAGATCGCAAGAAAGCTTTGACTACAAGGTTGATAAACAGCAGCCAATTAGGTCATCCGGTAGGCTGCACCCGAAAACTCACGTGAATCGTGGGGATGACATACATCATATATAAATATTTATTGTAACATCTGGGAACCTAAACCCCCAGGCTGAACGCAAAAGAAAAATATTTAATAGACTAAGCATATTGAAGGCATAGGTAGTTGCAAAAGACTGCGAACTTTACTCCTGCATGGGGGTCAACGTCATAAGTTGAAAGTTTGGTTTCATATCAAACTCTAGTTATCATATCATATCATATCATACTGTATCATATATCGTATTCTAATCATAGCATATCCATATCATATCGTATTATCCTATCCAATATAAAGATACAAAGCTCAATTAAGTAGTCGGCTTATCGACATTTGCTTACGAATTTTAACGAATTCTGTTCTCTCCATAGAATGCCAGCAATTTTTCACCATTCGAGGAGTGCGACCAGGAAGATGCTCCGCAATCAGTTTCCATCTTGGTCCATGAATCTCATAACATTCCTTTACTATTTTCCGTTCCGCTAAGCTAAGAGGAGTAAGAATAACTAACAAAATGGATAATATAGTCATCTTAATAAGTGCATTGTTTGTAATGATTGTGCGTGTACAGTAAGAACCGAAGAGGTTCCTACTGTATACGCCATTTGCTGTATTGAGTATCATAAACAGCTTATTATAACAAAGAAGACTTACTGCCGGGGCGTAAAACATTCTTCCATCTGAAAGATTGACATTGAAGATGCATTATTAGTCACAACAGACCTTTAATAGTAGATATAACTTATCCAATTTAGCGTTTACTTTACATACTCGTCTAATATAACCCACCTTTCTGCACACTGTCGAGAAGTTTTCTCATCCAGTCGCTTGGAAATCGTAGTCCACGAGGCGCCAAAGGTATTGTACAGACTCACTAAAATTGCGTCCTCCTGTGATAATTATAATAAACTGCTTTTTAGTATAATAATTGGTTTGTGTACCATTGTAATGGATGAAAATGATTATGATACCTTTGCCGACCAGGACATCATTCAAAAGAATAAGAAAGATTTCAAAAACGCAAGCAGTGTGGGTATTTTTTTTTTGATAATTCTTAACGTATGTCTGTATGTCGAGCATAGATGAAAATGCATAGCCAAGGTAAATTATAGAACATTAATATACATACTCGATAAACTGTCCGACTATTGAGAAAATTTTGTCCTACTTTAACGAGTTTGAAACTACGATATATTGTTACTAATCCAATCCTTCTGAGCGTAACTTCGGATATTTTTCATGAAAAATTTGCTCTCGCTGTTGTTCGCGATTTCAAAAACAATATAACATTATTGAAGAAAATGCAAAATCAAGACAAATCTCTTAATTTCGACATAAAAATGCAAATCTGATATTAGTAAAAGTTGTCAAGAACAGAGTTTCAAAATCGTACCTATTTACCTATTCTGATTTTCAAAATAATTCTGGTTACAAATTCCAAGTGACCAAGTTTTTTTTTTGGAAATCCGTTTTCCGGATGAATTCTTATTTACCAAAATGAAACTATTTTGCTATTCTGTTTCGATTTCTTTTAGCTGAGTAGTCGAATGGTGCATTATTTTGAAAACACACCTATTATGTTTTACATTTACAGTTTCAATTAGTCGTTAGGGATTCATTATTAGTCAAATGGATATGGACGTAGTACCGATAACGCAAAATTACATCTCAAACATTGGCTTGATTATAGCTTGAGTTGTTGAAGCATGCTAATTAGTCTCATAATAAAACCTGTTTCGGAGTTTCAACTACATCATCGTTCCAAGTTATTCTATTCGCTTTAGCTGTGTCTATTTCCAGAATTGGAATAGTGAAGACCTATTGCACAAGTACAGCTAATCTGATATTTCTAAATAAACTGAGCGAGATGAGGGAATTGAAGTATTGGTCAAAATCCAGAAATTGCAAGTCAAAGCAAGTCGGAAGAGAAGACATGATTTAAAATGAGTGTTAGATGTAAACACCCATCTTAGTGTGCAAATAACGATTGCGTAAAAAGGTTCAGACCGGAATAACACTTGCGAAAACCAGACCGTTATAATACTTATTAATACTGCATGTATGACAATCCTAAATGTGATGGGTTTCTCTAATGATTTGATATAGTTGTTTATTGATTGTTTGTATGTACATATGACTAGTTGTTAGAACTAGTAGTATTCATGCTGAATTATGTATTTTCCAAATTTGCTAAATTGCCCAATGTCTCTCCTAGATACTTTGCTAATTGTCTGCATGAAGCAAACAGACAAGCCAGCTCATCCTCGTATGGTGTAAAATACGGCACCACAGCCTTAACTTGACTGAGATTCCTGAGAATCAACGCTGCTGTCAAGGGGATTCCAATAGCATCTCCGCCTTCGTCAGACTGGAGATAAATTTTTGGACAATCATTGTATGATCTCGGATCTCGTTTTGCCGAGGCAGCCATAGCAGGGTAAGTTTTACTTGATTTTTGTGATGTGGGTAGTTGTTGAGATGGGGCTGGCTGCTGAGATGGCGTTGGTTGTTGTGATGGTGTTGATTGTTGAGTTGGAGGTGATCCTTGTGATTGAGATGGTTGTTGAGATGGAGGCGACTGTTGAGACGGTGACTGTTGAGATGGAGGTGATTGATGAGACGGAGGTGACTGTTGAGATGGAGGTGATTGTTGAGATGGGAGTGATTGTTGAGATGGGAGTGCTTGTTGGGACGGGGGCGATTGTTGAGGTTGGGGCGATTGTTGAGATTGGGTTGATTGCTGAGAATGGGGCGATTGTTGAGATTGGGGTGATTGCTGAGAATGGGGTGATTGTTGAGACGGATATGGTTGTTGAGATGGGGATTGCTGAGATATGGATGGGGGTGTGGTAGAAGACGGGACAAGAGGCGAAGCAGTACTTGCAGCAGTGGTATTAATAATGGACGTATTGGTGGTGGGAAGAACAGAATTCGTAGAATGATAAGATGCAGATGGATGAGAATTAGTGGTCGCCTTCCTCCTAATCCCGTGAACAATATACTTTTGTCCTTCAGGCGTATTCACCATCATGGCAACGGAATTTGGACATGCTTGAGATACAAGTTTTATTACTTCCGCAGCCGGCATCATAGTATGCGGTATCTCACGGAATTCGTCACGATATGCAAACCATACTTCAGTCTGCAGAAGGCTGTCCTTGGGAGATGATTCGAATGTGTCTTTTAGCCTTTGCGAAAAAAGAAATTGATTGGTCGTGAGTATACGAATACAGGAAGCGAAGGAAAATGACATAATACAGACACGTGATGGGCTCTTGCACCAAATCTCACTCGCATTCTTGACGCTGGGTCACCTCCTTTCATTCCGTTTGTTGCCCGTCCGCACTTCTCCGCCAATTCAACTTACCATTCAACACATCTTTGCGGTTCTTCCAAATGTGCCCACTTTGTTACACGGTGTTGTACGAGTCCTTCTGTTTCCTTGCCTATAATAAATTCCTCATAATCTTCTACGGCTCCATATTTTAAAAAGTGTTTCATTAGCTTGACAAAATTTCCCGGTGCATGTTTCACAATGTCCAAAGCCGTTTCATCATGTATGCTAGTGAACTGGTAAAACCAGTCCAAGCATGCCGAAATAAGATCCTCATCGTTAACGAGTAGCAACTGACACATGCGCCTCACAATTGATGCGTCCAGTGTTCGGAATATAAGGACATTATGCTCAGTCGAAGCAAGATTTGTTAGCGAACGGATAGATGATAGAACCAGACATCGGTCAGGAGAAAAAAGCATGGAAAAAAGTAGGGAAAGGAGAGGCTCAGATTTGGACCTGAGTGTTATGTACGAGCACATGTTTTCTATCGCGTCGAGGCAGTATGTGCGGAGCTCATACCAATTTGAGATAGTTTGGGATGTTACCCCTTCTATCAGTAGGTCTCTAAGCGGTTTATAGTGTGCCATCAATCTTGCGTTATGTCCCTCGAAACTCAAATTTCTGATTATTAAGAGTGCTTGTATTGCTTGCGCATATTCTTTCTCAGTTTCTTCTGCGTTCCACCACCCTCTTAATCCACAATGACGTGACCAATATTCTTCTCGTGAAAGCGTCTCGTCACAGTTCTTCCTACATGTATCGTAAAATGGCTGAACAAATGAGAGTAGCGTGTCGATGAGTCCAGGAATGGAGTCGATGTAGAGTGACGAGGGTTTTTCATATGAAAGAGTAAGAAGTTTGGTGAATGCCCACTCTACTTCATTTGGGAGAGATGATTTGAACGCGAGCAGTATTCTGTTATGATGGCCACCCATTAAATGATTGTCTTTTCGTATATTACGCACGTCGGATGAGAGAGAACAAGTGAAACGAAAGCAATGAAAAAATTGAGTGGAATTAATGTTAGTGAAGTCAAATACGTAACAACGATACTGTTAATTCACTATATAGTGAAAACTGTTCGTGCTCTCAGACATGAGACTAAATCTAATAACTCACTCAATTACCTAATGCTTGTCCGCTGGGTCCGTAAGAATATGACGCATCAGAAAAAGAATTAAAAGAATGCTTCTGTCCTGATGATCCAAGCGATCTCGACTGACCGATAACTAGATATACAAAAAAAAGTTAATTCCGAATATCAACCATAATGACGTTATAGCATTACTCTATCAATAATGCACGCGCGAGAACACCACCTAATTAATTCTGTGCATTAGCTCATACCCAACACCAATCTTTTAAAACAGTATCACGTTACTATACTCACCGCCTCCACTTCCCGCACCACTTACATTTCCTCCATCTCTTAGTCCTTTTACATTTCCGCGTAAATCATCTCCAAACACTGCACCTATTCCAATTGTTTCTCCCCTTCCCCTATCCCTCTCCTTCCCGCTACCCTCTCCAATGTCTCTCTTCCAATCCTTTTGCCCCACCGGAATACTGCTCGGTAAACCTCCATATGGAACAGGCTTCCCCCATAAATGCTCCATCTCAAATGCTTCAAGATACTTTGCATAGACCGTTTTCATGACATACGCGGAGTTGGTACACGTGGATGGAAAATTAAATGGAATGGTTACTTTTTTCCAACCACGCTCTTGAGAAACTTTCTCAAATCCTCCAGCCGCAACGACCATACAATAGATTTTATACAAATCAAGCTTTTTGGATCCGAGAACAGGTTCTTTCTGAAGTACCGTGCTAGATACAGGAATGTACATTTGAATTTGAAATTGTTGCAAGACTAAATCTGAGTTGTGACAGAACTAAATCACACACTAAATGCGACTTGTATAATATTGCTGATCTTGTCTTTTACAGTCTGACTGTCAAAATTGTGTCAATCAGAAGTCAAACCGTATGGACTTGTATGGTAATCTCGGTTTTATTTTTTACGAGGGCTCTAACCCTTCCTTTCGTTACATGTTAATAGTGTCTAAACTCACCCATGAGCAATATGGAACTCCTCCAGTTTTTTCATAAACACGTTATATTCCGGTGTCCGCTCTATTGTGTCATCGACTTGTTTAGATGTACGTGTTGCTGAGCGCATAACACTCATGTTTATAGGTATTTTGTAAAGGGTAAAAATAACAATAATAATAATAAGATTTGCCCATAAAAATTTAATCTTTTAGCATAAAATCACGTGTAATTAGTTACACCGGACGTTTATCCTATAGATCACCGGTCGATCTTTTAACCCCATAAACAGTGAGTAAATGCATTTACAGCAAATATTTTCGAGGTTTCCAATTTTTGCGTGTTTCCAAATTCTAGTGAATGAGACGACTCTTTTGGTGATTGTCTTTCTGCTCTGGCTGCGATATATTTGGTCGTTTATTTGTTGATGAGCACGCCATTTATTACGACTAATTATGGGTAGAACGTGATTCATTAGTGACCGAAGCCTGATTTGTGGGCTCAACTGTTTTATGCCAAAATAAGTGTTCTTTCTGATCAACGATTAGATCATCATTTCATACTTGGCACACTCGCTCGTCGAAAATGCATTTTACTATCTCGTCAGAGAAACGTCAGCCATACACAGATACCAACAGACAACCAATTTTCCGTTCACAACATTCTGCAACATGCGCACCATAATTATGCTGTATGTAGCACTACTTATCATCTTCGCAACGCTCGACTTTTCTGTTCATTCCTTTCCATTTTCACAAACTCGACTGACTACTGGCATACCAGCCAAGTTCTTGCATATCACGGGTAAATATTATATTGTCATCTAAAACGGTCCAATTATTTCATACAACCAATCCATATTTACTCTTCGCTCTCAATATGAAGACATTCACATAGATCCATACTACCGTCCGTACACCTCTCCTGCTTTTTCTTGTCATCGCCGCTCTCTTAATTCACCAAACACAGCCCTTCCGTATGGGACTGTTGGCACGCCTTGTGATACACCATTTATTACAGCGAACGCGACATTCAATTTCCTTCACGAACAATCGCTTGTACAGTTCGTTGTTTATACCGGAGACAGCGTACGACATGATAGGGATAAGCTGATGGAAAGAACGAAAGCAGAAGTAGAAGAAGGAAACAAGATGGTAGTGCAATGGTTTGTGGATGAATTTGTTAAAAATGGTATCGCAGTGGTGAGTGTTTAAAACCTCGAATCGGTTTGGAGACAAAAATTGAAATTGGGATACGAGAAGTGAACATAAGGGATTTGCAAAGTAGAAGTTGATAGATAAAATACATATTTGGCATCAAGTAGGCAATATTATATTTATTTTGTCTTACTAATAATCTTTTGTTAATTAATCTATCATCGATGGTTAATGCTTCTAGATTCCAACAATAGGTAACAACGACGTATACGGTATGATAAATTTTCAAACTTTTTGCAAATTTATACTTAATTACTATAGAATTTTCATTTCTCTGATAAAAATTATACTTTCGTTGCTCCACTACATTTCTTGTGTTGCTTCGTTCACAATTTCACACTACTAACCTTCGTTTTATCATCCAAAAAGAACACGACTTTCTCCCACCTGGTCCAACACCATTCTTAAATACTCTCTTTCACATCTGGAAACCACTCAATCTCAACCTGACATCTTCTTTCCTTCGTGGAGGCTACTTTCGTCACGATATTCCCGACAGTCCCCTGACTTTTATTTCTATGAATTCAATGTATTTATATAATGTTAATGGCTTAGTCGGTGATTGCACTGAAGGAACTATAGGATGGGAGATGCTGAGATGGATGACTGGAGAAATGAGAGATCTGAAAGGAAAAGAGAGGAGAGTTGCAATATTGCAGCATGTGCCACCATTTGATGCTAAAGGTAAGAATGGTTGGTCAATGCAGAAGTGTTCAAATGCGCTTGAAAACGTATGCTGTACATACTACATTCACTTACTTGTAAGGATATCGGAATGCCGACTAATCGTGTTCTATTATTAGGGAGGATCGCCTACTTCCCTAAATGCTATGAGATGTACGTTGATATTCTTGGACGCTATTCTGATATAATTATTGGACACTTTGCAGGTAATTTTTTCGCAAAATCAATTAGAACGAGGGACTAAATAAAGAAGCGCTCGAATTTTATTAACTTTGATGTACTGTACACGCGTTTTATCTTTCGACTCAGGACATACGAACGATGACACAATAGCATTTGTAACTGAATCGAGCGAAGGATACAAAATGTATCCTGTAGTGAAGGAAGAAAAACCTGCAAATAATTCGAACAAGAATGTAGTATTGGTGTTAAATAATGCGCCTTCAGTTATTCCTGGTAAGAGCATAGCAGAAAATATTTGAAATGGCGAATATCTATTGGCTCTTCCCAGTCTCTTTCACATATCCTGTAATTGCCTATTATTGGCAATTTTACAACCTGTTTGCAATAACCTTCTCTTTTTATAAAACGGTAAGCCAATAATCCAGGATTACGTATCTATCACTATGCAACCTCTCCTCATAACTATGGTCATCTCCTCGATTACGTCCAATATTATGTGAACATGACGCAAGCCCATCTGGTTGACAGTTTCGAATACGAGATCGAATACACCGCACGCGATGCATATGGTTTGGAATCATTAGAGCCAAAAGAATGGATGAAACTACTGCGCGAGTTTGAACAGGATGACAGTGAGGCTTGGAAGAAGTACTGTTTATATCAGACTGTGAGTGAGACTGACGGCTAAATAATATGTCTAGCAACTTCTTTCGTTGTTTGTACTTTTCCTGCCTGGTTAATTATTCGCTTCATATATCTACTTGTGTATTCTATTTGGTCGAATTCATAATATCATAATCCTTCTATCCTGACCACTCTTTTAGCGCATTAGGAATACTTTTCTCATTTCTTCCAAAATTGGTAGTAATTGATGTTACGAATGTTTTAATCTCAAACGCTTACCGTTAATAATATATTTGTAATTGCATTACATAATTATTTCAAAAAAAAGTTTCTAAAAATATACATTCTTCCGTTATGCCTTGCCTTCTCCCTTGGAATGCATCGAAATCGCATTCATTCTATGTACTTGAACGCTCGATGCCGTTTTGCGACAAAAATTGCTTCCCGTTTTCCTGTTGTTATTAAAGCGAGTTCGAACACACGATATGAACGAATTGAATGTTGATTCTGCATAAATATACTATGACGGGATCAGGCATCTTAATTTTCACAGTCTATCATTCGTTTGCGCGTTACGCTTTCATCAGGAGTGATAGAATATAAGACTGAATAAAGCGATGAGAATAGTAGAAAGGGCAAATAAGCGTGTTATCAGTTTGGATGATGCAAAATCGAAAACGAGAAAACGGGACGAAGTATTAGATTGGCTGGAAACAGTTTTCTCGATCAACCGTGAACGTTTTGAAAGCATGAGGTGTACTTAAGCGTCCTGTTTTCATAGATATTTGCTTCCTTTGGCCGGAGTTAGTGTAATCGATTAACTTGGGAAATACTGTGCTCATGCATACATCAACTGACTGTGAACCACGCAGATTATGCGTTTAAACTGATCATGTAGTATTATTTTTATGGCTTGCGGCCTTACTTTTTTCTGAAAGCGCATTTTCCTTTCCAGCAATAAGTCTTACGACATACAGTATGTCAAGATTTTAAAAAATTTTTTTAACAGGTCGATTTGCCCAAAAATTACTTCGCTACCTATGATAACTCGAATATTACTATTACAAGTAATGTCCACTTCTCTATGCGAGTGACATAAATTTAGTGATGCGGTTTCCGAAGGCTCCTTCACTAAAACAGGTGAATACAGCGGATTTTAATTGGATTACCGTTGAACACTTGATTCGTCTGGCTTTTCAACTTCACCTGTGTTTTAGTATATTCTTAGGCAACAAGTTCTTCATCTGTATAGAGACATAATAAGAACATCACGCTGTAAGATTATACTTCAATATTTCGTCACGCTTTCTTGTCAATGTAATATACCTTTTTTTATATTACGTAGTGATCCCTAATAATAAAGACAGAGCAGACACACTGAGATGGGTTAGAACCGAATTCGAAAATGCACATAGGGAGACAAATATTGTAAGCACAACCAACTATTAACATAGATGATCAATCCCACAGCTCCTTACTAATTCTTTGCCGCAAAGGATAAGATAAGACAGAGACTTCTTGAAGGACAAAGAGAATTAAGAGATATGAAGGGGAGTCTCGAGAGGAGCTTGTCTGATGAACATTGGAAAAGAGAATGACACAATAAGATTACGAATGATTGAAAATGTTCGTGAGGGGACATGTTAAATCAACCATGCCTGTCAGGATGAGGCGTTAAAGCTCACGTAGAAATATTTATATGTAAAATCTCAATTAAAACTTTATTCAGTAGGCATGATTTGGTGAGCTTGTAATAAATTGTCAGTTGCTGGGTCTTAACTTTTTATAAAGGTGAAATAATAAGTCATGTGTTATATGGGCAGACTGCAGCAGAGTGAATATTCTGATATGAGAGGCTGATGTGGCTGAAAGTCAGATTATCACAGATGTCAACTACAGTTTTAAATTAATATCATGCTAGAACATGACTAACATTAATTGATTAATATAGGACTACAGTATGTGTATATTAAACCATTAATATATAATATGAACAAATTTACATTAAATCAACCATGGAACCAAAAAAATCACAACACCATTAGAAACATTTTAAGAGAAAAAAATTGTGCCTTATGTTTTCAAAATCAATGATACCCAAACTCTTCAGGAATATCTAGATAAAGAAAAAATCACCTGTGAAAGTTATCATGAGGAAAAGAAAATCATAACTAATAAACAAACCGTAACAAACAACTTATGAAGAAACGTAACTGGTAAGGAAAATAAAGCTCCCTACCAACGCGTGCGAAAAATCGTTCTTTATTGATAAAGACTGCTCGGTCATATTTCTCTATTTTGACACAATTGCAATCAAAAAGTCAAACACATAAAATATTTTTCGTAAGCATAAATTTTGAATGCACGCCCTTGAAAATAAATACTAAATGTAAATGCACCAGAGTGATTGCATGTGAGAAAAATACTCAGACCCAAAGCCATTGATGAATATAATCTATTCATTGGTCACTCTGGTGCAAATCTAAATTTCGGAATCTTTTTTATCATTGCTATCACTAATAACATTAGTGGAGATGAAAGACTCAGCTCTAACTCCTAATAAAGAAGACCAGGAATCAGGTCTTCCATTATCATCTATTTCTTTATTCATTAATCCAACGTCAATGGTCTTTTTCCGTGGGGTTGGTTTCCATAGGTAGTAGTTTTTTTATCGTAGAGGCAACTAGACCGTTTCCTTTACTGAGTAATCCAACGATTTCAATGGCCATTTTGTTAAAGGAAAAGTTCGAGTCCAATTCGAACCTTCTGCCAAATAAGATTTCCACAAGTTTTCAATTTCTGATGGATAATCAGGTTTGCGGTAGTCTTGGATTTTTCTTCGCTCCGTTAAATTGATTCCTTCTGATTTATAATAAGCAGCCGACTTCATAATAATATAAATAATAAAGGAAAATTCCGATCAACAATCCAGAATAAATTCACTTGTGAAACAAACATTTTAAATAATGAAGTACAGTTCGACTCTCTTTATAACGACCTTCTTTATAACGATTCGCGCTTTATAACGACCGCTGTGCTCTGCCCGTTTTCAAAAACGTTATATAATTTATTATATGTGCTACGCTGCATATAACGACCGCTGCATATAACGACCGCTGCATATAACGACCGATTTTGTCCAGCCCGAGGCGGTCGTTATAAAGAGAGTTGACTGTATGTTGGATAGAGCAGTTTGCAAAACTTTTTCGTAAAGTATCTCAATTTCTGTCGTTTTTATAGCGGATCTTTTTTGAGCCACGATATTCGAACTAAACGCGTAATTGACATGCGCAAATTTTTGCGTATTAATTATCATTGGTCTCATTTTGCGTCGGGGGGAACAATAGCATTAGTAAATCATCATGACAACCATCGAGGAAACAAATAAGAAAATCGACAATGAGGTTGTTAACGTGATAGACGGAGAGTGCATCATCAAGGTAGAAAATACCCTGTGATGACTTGGGAACGTTATTAATGTATTCGATCTGGCTCGTATTTCCAGAAAAGGCGATAAACGGTAAGTACGAAGTTTGCTATTTATAATTTACTTTATTTTCACTTTCTTTATTCTGATGTTCCTATTATATCTTAAATATTTCTGCTGAGATAGTAAAAAAAAACTCCTGACTGACCGAATTTCTTAATGAAAATCTTCCAATAAGAATACACTCGCCTCTGTTTATTTTTCACAATTTAACACTACGAACTTAAACTTTTCTCTCGCATTCTGACATCCAAACAGTTTTCAGATAACCCAACATTTCCGCGATTTAGTTTGGGTGGCAAGAATGCATGTACTTATATTGAGTATGGGGACGGAATGTACATTACTTTACTCAATGTTTTAGGACAGTTAATTTACCCTCCTTCATATATTCATATGGAAATACGAAGATTTTTATATTTTTTGTAGGACAGATATTATTAGAAATACGATGGAGACATTTGGAATGCATAATTTTAGTATATCAATATTGGAATTTGATCATATCACTAGCAAACAAGTAATTAAATGGGTAGAGATTGAACAGTATGAAATACAGTAGATGTTAACAAAAATTGGTTTATAGACACAATTATCCTGTCTTAGTATTAGTAAGAAATGTTTGTCCCCTATGAGGTGAAAAAAAGTCCTGAGAAGATTAAAGATGTGGGAATTCATCATGTGAATTAGTTATTAAATTCAAGGACTAGACCTTATTACTATGGAGATGCTTTATAATTATTTTCGCGTAATATTACTATGCTATTGGTGTGCTAGTCGTTGCATAATAATAAGGCAGAAAATACTGATCAAAAAAAGAAAATTGAGTGTTTATTTCTTTGTCATTACAATCATTCATTATTATTATAGTCGCCCATGCACCTGGTCTGAAAAAAGACCAACTAAAGATTGTGGTGGGCAATAACAAAAAAATTAACACACTATTGACGGGGCCATCAAGTTCAATGGCACTGAATTGATATAGATAATGGAATTCATTTAAACCATTTTAATTTGTCAGATATAGATAGAATTTGCATTATGAATTTTCTTCAAAATATTTGTAAGTGCTTTTATGAACTTTAAAATTGTTATTTCAGAATCTTAATTTAACCAATTACAATGGTCATTTATATTACTATTACCTGTTATTAGTAGTATTATTATAGTGCATGTATGCCCACAAAGAGATTACCAGAATTATAAACAATAATATCACATTTTATTGATATTTTTATAATGTAACCAAAAGTTAACTAAATGACTATTATAAATGTATATATAAAAGTAATGACAAATTTCAGAAAATTTAATACTATTATTAACAAGAGTAGTAAGTAATCAAAAATGGCTGTTTTAACTTATTCTTTCAATTTTAAAATTAAATTTTGCTTCATGTTTCTTTAATTCCTTTAGATACTTGACAATTTTCATCTTTTTAGCAAGACTTTGAACTCTATTTATACTATGCTGCAACAACCTGATGCCTTTGATATAACTTTTTTCATCTCCTAATTTGGCTCCATAATCTGCCAAATCTTTCATGCAACGCAAGTTGCCACACTCTGCACCCTTTTCATATAACGGTAAACATTCCTTCTTCATTCTTTCAAAAATTTCATTTGCATTTTCAATGTCGCCCATTTCAAACAATTGATTTCTCAATAATGTAGCAGCAAACAGACTTTCCTGCGCACGAAATTGAACAGCATCCATCAACCCCATTCTTTCAGCAACCATCAAATAACTCACTCCAACATCCGCATTTTTCTCAAAGTCAATCTTCAAATCCATGAGATAGCGACCAACATAAAAATTGGCTTCAGCAGCAGCTTCCTCACAATTCGCCAATATTTTGAATTGACCAAACGCTTCTTTATAGTTACCAATAGAATGAAGGGCACATGCACCTTGAATTGTTATATTACTTAAGATGGAGTAATCAGTTGCACGATTTGGAACTAACAAATCGGTTGGGCCCGTTCTGTTCTTTGATAATTTAAGTTCTCTAAGCAGTTTCACAATAGTCTGTACTGTAGGACGTTTGGTAGGATCTCTGTTCCAACAAGATGTCATTATATCTACATACACTTGGGGTGTGTCCTTAACTATTGGTAGCTCACATGTATAATCTGCATTCGCCAGTAATTCAAATACTTCTTTTGGACTTTTATCCTTAAATGGAACATCATGTGAAGACATCTCCCACATGAGCAGACCAAAACTATAAATTATAGTATTCAATATCAGGTACAAGAAAACAACAAAATTTTAGTAAATTAGATACTCATTTCAAGCAAGTAACTGCTTAATATCAAACAATTACTAAATAAATTGTTTTCACAGGCAATAATTAATTACGAGTGACAATTATATACCTGTATATATCAGCTGCTTTGGAAGAAGGCAAATGTGGATTTTGTGCCTTTTCAGGGCAAGTCCACCGAACAGTTTCCAATTGTTTATTAATATTCCGAGTACTATCACCTGATCTTGTATACAGATTACTTTTTAATCTTACATTTCCATCTTTATCTACATATATCTGATGACTGTGAATATAATTATTGTTAGTAAAAACAAACAAATGTCTGCAATAACTCTTTATGCAAACAATTACCTTGAAATGTTCCTATAGAGGACGAGCTTGTCATGCAGAATTGCAATCGCTTTTGCTATATGGGAAATCGTTTTTATTTTCCACTCCCATCCAATATCCTTATGGATTTGCAAATATTCATGGAGTGATCCATTCTCTGCCCACTCTATAATTTGATAGTAAAGACCATCCTTCAATAAAACCCCAAAGCTTTTGTTTTAAAATATCAAAGCTATTAATTTCCTGTATCATATACTTTGAACAAATAATAACAAAAAAAAACTCACTTTTTTAAAAACAATTTAGAATTCAACTTATAATGGAAATAGGCATTTCTATAAAAGCTTCGATAATCCAATGGTGGTAATAAACCAATGTCCTTGCAACATAAATATTTGTATTGTACAAAACTTTGTTACCATATGGGTTTCCATCAATGAATTGAATCTGATGTGGCTTAATAGAAACACTTTGTAATTGTGTTTGTGATATTTTTGCACCATTGTGAATAGCTGCAGTGACAAATTCATCCTTGATTCTTTGAAAGAGCAATGTCAACATGGTTCTTGTATGATTTGTATCAATCTGTGTGATACTTTTCTCTTTGTCGTTAGTTTCTTCTAATGAGCCAGTTTCCTCTACACTTGATATTTTCATGCAAACAAGTTGTTCTGTCAGCATGGAATTCTTTTGCAGTACTATATGGACGTTTGCCGCTTTAAGGGCGACATCCAGATCTACAAAAAGTTTATCCAATTTTTGTTCAAACTTTGAACATCATAATTATAACACAAGTCAGTTATATAGTCATGTTTGAATTAATAATTCCCAAACTGATAGAAACTTACCTCGGTTATAGTATCAAATCGTGATAATACTTTAATCTTAGCCTTAGTATAATGCACCAGAAATCTTTCCCATTCCTTCAACGCCCGCACCAACTTTGGTACTCGGCTCCTAATAATGTTACCCTCTTGTTCCTGAATTAATCGTCCCACTTCGTTTAAATACAAAACTAGGCTATCCAGTGCGCGTAAATTACAATCGGCTTCGGTACGAAGATCACATATTCTTTTTATAGTATCATATGCTTCGGCTACTCCAAGAAAGAATAATTCCTTCGCTACAGGCGACAAAAGCTCTACATTTTTGCCAAACCATCCCTTCTCGAACTCACAAGTAGTCAGCGAATCATTAGAATTATCTGTTGCAAGTTGGGCATGTCGGTAGAACTCGTCCATATTTAATCTTAGAATGCAACTGATGTCTGAAGAGACTGCCGACGCTTGTGTTGCAATAAATGTGTAACGTGTTGCATACTGATAAAGTTCACCAAGTTCGTATCTTTGGTGATAGCTTTGTGTATCATTCGGCATGAGGGATATCTGGAACTCGATTATAAATTTTCTAGCCACAGTACAAAATGACTCCATGCAATAGAGAACCAATACGGCTACTTCCTAAAGCACAACACTTATTATTATGCACGGCATCTATTCCTGGATAATATATATTCGGTTTGACATTTATGTGACAAAAAAGTCCTGTAGATCCTACCAAATATTACATCAAGTTTTCAAAAATGTGGACGCGGATAATTGCGAATAAATACTTGCCAGAAGGAGATTAGTGTCTTTTATTAGCTGCGCCTATTATTGAAAGATGTTTACAATGAGTTTTTTCAGGATAATATCAGTCAGTCGACAGAAACACTGTAAATTTACTGGGAGATTGATGGCAATAGTAATTGACAACGAAAAACGGCTAATCGTTCAATCTCTCTTTTTACGATTAGTTTTACCACAGACATGTAATAATCCTTCACTTTTTTATTATTACAGAGTCCAAAACATCTTACAAAAAATTAAGTCAGATTTTTTCAAAAAGTAAAAATACAAAAAAGACAATGACGTCAAATCGACGTTTAATAATACTTAATAAATTTTTGTCTCTAGTCTCATACCCCACATTGCGTTTGCAAATTTATAGTTCACCCCATTCCCTCATACTACTCCTATTCCCTGTAAACTCGTCATTATCACCACTCCTCGCTCGTGCCCTTCTCATACTTGAATTTCTTCTTGGGACGGACTCCAAGCTTTCTGTTAAACTAAACTGTCTCCTTAAAGAAGGGTTGCTAGAGATCGATGAAGATCTTATGACCCCACTATTAGAAAGCGAATCCCGTGTCAAGCCACCTGCAAGCGGTGTACCTTCACTATTACCCGACATCTCAGGCAAAGTATCGTTCGTTCCAATTTCCGAGTGTAGGAAATGTGAATATACTACACATACAATAGGAAAGGCGCCCTCTTGGTGCGTGTTTTGATTATATCCAACTGCCCAGCCGTCGTCAAAAATACGTCTTAGAATAATAGAATCGTTGGGAGTTAGATCCAACTCGTCCTGGAGTTGGGCTGTGTACGGGTGGACAACAATGACAATGTTATCTTCGTCTGGCGGAAACGTGATCGGTCCAGGCAGGGCATTGTCTATCAGCGGAACGTCTGCAACGTCAATTTTTTGATCCTCATTTGTTGGAACATCCGGATTGCTGGCAACTGATAGATTGTCGGGATCAAACGGCGGATTGCCACTCATCCGACTGTCACTCACCCGATTGCTACTCTGCAGATTACTGAACGTTTGATCTTCTGGAGAAGTGACCAATCTCACGGCTGAACTACGTCTGACAGTCTCGCTGCTTGCGATTGAGGATCTCTCAATAGCAGGATCAGACGCAGGGGGTTCGATTGATGGCAACCGCTCGTGCTTCGGTTTATCTCTAACGCAATAATAAAATAACGCTATCCCTATTGCTATTCCCACAACAGCCACCGAACCAAATATTAATCCCCACATTGCAGGCATGCCTAGTCCTTGTGATTTTGAGGCTTCAGTAGATACAATTGTGGTTATGATTGTTGGGGATGATGTGGATGAGGTTGTAGTGCTGGTATTGGTAGGTTTGGGACAATCACCGCAGCAAGCTGTTGTGTTCTGTTGCGAGCAGAATTCACAACGGGATGTTTTGTTCAAAAAGCCTGTAGAAAAGAGAACGATAATTAAAAGGTGAGACGAAAGAGAATCACGAGAATCTTGTACACGTTCTATATAAATAGTACTATGTTTAGATATCCGTCACGCAAAATGATGAAATAAAGGATCAAATACTATAACACGAACGCAAACCAAAATACCGATCATGCAGATTCGCAAACTCGTCCCTCGAAAATCCTTTCCAATAAATAAACATACCACAAGTCGTAGCCTCGTTTTCAAGTCCGGATATACACTTGCCAGCTGCACCAGACGTGTTACAGAAATTGTAAAGCCTTTGCCCCAACGCCCCCAGCTGACCATTCCACTTGGGACATAACGTCTTGTTTCCAAGTGTTTCATACAGGCTCGCACGAAATTCGGCACAAGTCTCTGTACAAATTGGCGGTGACGCTTGGTTCACATCAAGCGCACTGCACGATTGCGATATCGGGTCGTTGACTAAATCTGCGCATATGAGTGTCAACGTGTATCGAGGTGGCGGAATAGATGGACACCCGGCGTCAACGAATTGAGAGGGATTGCTAGCATAAGCTTCGATGGCACTATCGAACTGTGAGATGTTCTGGACAGGTGGAAGGAAGTTGTAGAATGTTAGGAAGCTTCCAGACGTTATAGAGTAATTGTTAACTAGCGGACATGCTTGGCTGCCTTTGAGTGAAAAGCACGGGTCCATTGAGTAAGTTGGATAAGGGAAGCAAAAGAGGAGAAAGAAGGATTTATAGAACAAAAGGTGACGTATAGACAAAGGTTTTGCTAGTACTTTGGATCGAAACATAACAGCAGATCTTGTTGTTTCTGGTGTATTAGATATGAAGGTGCTGTTGACGAGTAAACTTTTCCGTGAAATCGTCTTTAGATATAACCGTAATGGTCTAGAAAATATTGAAAGCAGAAACAGAAACGGTGCTAGAGTCCTTATTCTTGTCCATATTATTCCAGGCGACCATATTGTATTACATGATGACATTTTCAAATGTTTAAATGTTCGAGTGTGATTAATCCTGATTCTACGAAAGAATAAATTTTGTTGTAGACGTCTCTGTCTGGCCCACAGTTTTTTTTTGTTCGTGGCCCCCGAGTAGCCTTTGATAATGATAGATCTTCGAAAGATGAAATTCTGCAGACCCTTATACTGTACTATCCGTAAAGTCTCATTCACACTGTTGGCTTTGTGTTTGCAATAATTTATCCCCTTTACACGTTTTTCCGGCTGTTTAATTCTTACTGAGAACTGCGATTTGAGTCAAACTGCGAGTACGTGGCTTGGTCAGTGGCTTAGGATAGATGTCTGATAAATCTCGACGAATTCTTCCTCGTATTTTTTCTTTTGTTGCGAGTACTACTCGTTATTGTATTGGCGTATATGATATATGGAGGCGGAGTTAAGTAGTGGCTGAGTATGGAGTCGAGCGACGTTGGTCGTTCGTCGTTTTAAGAATAATCGTTATTATTTTTGTTCTAGTATTATAATGCGTCGTTCACGCTGCCTGTTGTTATTATATATTAATGTTTGTTACAGTCTGTGGCGCCGTTCGAGACTGAGGTAGAAGAGAGGTTTTGTGATAGAAATAACGTAGAGTATATTCAATCGATGTATCCCACTTTGTGGCTTGACAAAGTATCGAGTCTAATATTACTCTTAATAATTTGTTACATTTATCTCAATATTTCATATGCGTCTGCTACATTAATGCTTCATTGCAATGAGTTATTGGGATAAGCTTTCTCGTTGACCGTTTACTCAATGTTCTACTTGTAGCGAAACTTTCTACAGTCTGGGCGATGTCACCCTAGTCTGGCAGATATATAAGGAAATAATTGGGACACCTGGGATGTCAATCAGTCCATTTTCATTGGTCGGTGATCTGTCCAAGCCATTTGCAATACAGTTACTAGATCAGATGCATTTTATAATAATTATAATATATTACGAATTGTGCAAAAGTTCTAGTAGACGTTACACAACAGGTCACAGCCACCAAGATATATCGAGTAATTTAACAATATCGATATCAATCACATTTATATGCGAACAAAAAAATGGTAGTTATGCCACATGAACCGTCACGTATAATGCAAGTGGCGTATAAGCCAAACTGCACGTGTGGGGACAGATTGGACGGAATTTCCAGCACAATAACTTTACAATCTCGCCAAGGCTTTCTTCTCTCTTCTTTCCAATGTTTGATAAGTATTATGGGAAATTTTTTTTAGTTTAGAAGTATTCTCAAAGGTTTATATTGTTTATTTGTTTCACGAACGGTATAAAGTTTTTTTTATATAGCAATTGATCATGTTCTTGATAAACTGGAAGCGAGTTTATTTGACAGAGCTCATTAGATGGCGTACATTTAATCAATATGTAGATTACGTTTTTGCCATTAGCCTCACACGATCTTCTAGACGCCTGAAGGGACGAATGACATTGTCATGTATGAATTATAATAAATTATTCGGTGATGTCGGAGATAAACCAAGAATAATTTACTAAAGAAGTCATGTGAATACAAATCGACGTTAATATTAAGGAAACCCCAACATGAATGAATTTACTGATAACTTTATGCCAGTGCGATTTCTATCCAATGGAGGAGCATTTCCGAGATATTAGACTTTAAAGCACACAGCTTGATGAATCAAGCGCAGGCAAGCACTATCGACAGACAAACTAAACTGAAGATGCTGTCCCTTGTTTTGTTAATGGAATACTAAATATTAGTAAGATTAAAAATAATACGACCGAGGCGTAATATGTTGGTAAATATAGTTACGGAAACACACAAGAAAAGTTATCAAATGAGCTATGGGTGCACTAAACAAACTGCGAGACAATCAAGTGAGCGACAACCCTTGACGGGTTTAATATGCTTATTATAAAGTATGGTTGAATTCTGTCGATCTAAAGTACTCATAATATTATAAACAAGTCATTTTACTGTGTAATCTAGCAGTAATGTATTTTACTTTATTGACCAGAAAAGTTATATATATTGTATAAGTATTATTTGTTAATTTTTGCATAAAGCGTATGTCAAAATTTGTCTAGTCGTTGGCGTCAAGACCAAATATTACTCATAATGTTGGAATGGAAGAACACTCGAGCATAGAATTTCTAATGTAATACCCATGTGATACATTATGTATGAAGTGCATACAGAATGACAACTAAACGTCTGAATGAGTAAGCATAATAAAATAAAAATAGCATGCATATGAAAGTAAAAGTCGAAAAGTGTAGTTATATACTTCACGCGACCAAAAGAATCTTGAATGTTAATAAGCATTATACGATAGAATGGTATTCAATTGCTTTTAAGGCGAATGAAACAATCAATCCGGTTTGCACTCGCTTTGGCTAAAATATCATTAACCAGTTAAAGAAAAAACAACAAATTTTACGTGCAAGATGTTCTGCATCTCGTATCTGGATTGTTACAAGAGCACTCAATTAGAATATGTGCAGGTCTACAAGCGTGTCTTTCGAATTGTTCTCGAAATAGACAGATTAAAGCGCAGAAAACTATTATTAGTAAAAAACGTACAATATATGGGGCATGCTGCAACAAACCAGACAAAGTGAACATTCTTAAATAAGAGACTGGTGTGGCTGAAAGTTAAATAACTTGACTGATGACGTTTTGAAAAGTAATAATTGGCACTCATTCATAATTTATAGACTTGTTAATTTTAATTTTCACTTTATCATACCAGAATAGGATAATTATAAACCATAACAGGATTAATATAGGATTACCTCTATATATAAAAATATTAATATAAAACTAATTTACATCAAATC